TATATAGAAAAAAGTAACATGCTATTTTGCGGAGTACACTCATTGGCAAACTTACTTGGTTTTTCGAGAGATTCACCTAGAACACAGCTGAAATTCTCGTTTGTAATGTTCCCAGGAAACTGAATGTGCAGCACCAGGCAGCCTCATTTTTCAGTCGCTAGGATATTCGAGATAGCGCGATAAATGTACATTCGGAATGCACTACTCATAGAGTTGCTGAAAACTCGTCGACAGCTCACGGCCGGTTTCGCCTTTCTTAAGGCTCATCAGGTAAGCGCAGTCCCCGAGTTTCCGTCAACCTTATGTTCTACTTGAACCCATATTGAAATGTTTTCAAGAAACACAACTCATTTCCAAATCAATTTGGTTTTCACGGGAGACTCAACGGAATCTCTCTTTTATGATAGTCTACAACTGAATTTGCTGCACACAGGCCGCCTTATGATTCAGTTGGCACGATATTCGAGATATCGTGGTATATTTTCATGAAGGAAAGTACTCACAAGGTTGCTGAAAACCCTTCGGCAGCCCACGACCGGTTCCCTCTTCCTTGAGGCTGATCAGGTAGACGCAGTCCCCACAAAAAAGAGTTATTTGAGTCTCCCACGAAAACCAAATTAATCTACAAATGAGTGGATTTGTCGCAACTCCACATGCCGTTGTTAGACAGGAGTTTCTTCAAACCTTTTCATCCAAAATAGCTTCCATATAACACGAGACAAACTTTCCTTAAGGGAAGACATTTTTCACTTGCAAACCAAAAACTTAGTTTCCGGGATAGCCTTTTATCGCTTTTTGATTGGCGTCATTTTTTTGCCAGAAAAACTCTAGTATTTCGAACTAAAATGATGGGAATTTTCAGGTGATAACTAGATAGCTGATTTTTAAGTAATCGTCTGTTTTGCACCCGGGGTTGTTTTTTCACCCCCCCCCCCTTGAGCAGCTCTAAATCTTTAGCACTTCTAATGATTGTCTATTCATCCCAATCATCCCACTTACTTGCCAGTCAAATGCGATGCATCGAGGAGTCGTGGTGCACAGTTGCGCACAAACTGTGGGGACGTCCACTTCAAGCACAGAATCCATCGCATCGAATATGGTATCTACGTGTACTGTCCAGCTGATGTGTGCTGTGGAACAATTCCTCCGTGCAACGTGGAGCGGCGCCAGCTCCATGCAGTTGGGAAACTCCGTATCGATACACCATGAGTTTTGCAACATCGTTCCACAGTACAAATAGAATAGCAGATTCGGAGGTGCGTTTAGTTTGGAGAGATGAAACATTTTCGAGTGCACACCAAGTATACTCTCGGTCACGTATACGGAAGTACATAAATTAATCGTTTCTGAAATGCTACCTAGCCGACCAATCAAATGCTAGAACGATTTTGATTGGTCACCGTTTTCCTAAGCCGCATAGTGTTTGTACCTACGTGTAATTAAATTTGTGCATTGTCCCACTTACTGCATTCATTACTTATTTTGATAATTTTTAGTCAGGCAATTCAAGTTCTTTCAAATCATGCACCCGAAATCAGACTAATGATTGTGATCAGAGTGGATATGCTCCAGCACTAAAAAATTCTAGCTATCTTACGTGAGACGCTTAGCGCACAAGCCCAGAATCTACTAGTAAATATTTCAGTTATTGATGCATCCACAAAACGTCACGTGACAATTGGTTGCACACCTGAGATCTTTGTCAACCCGCTCCACGTTTTGCCGAAAACCACTTGCCATATCTTTCCAGCAGCTTAGAAAACGGCGAATTGGGAGGTTGCTTCTCTCACCGTGGAGGACATCAAGTGGATTGGAACTCTTGGAAACAAATGCTTTGGTCATACTACATTTATCAGCCAACTCCAGTGTGTCTGCATTCAAACGAAGTGAAACTAAACCGAACCGAGCGAGAAGAAACCAAAGCTGATCAGATTGAGGTGGTTGCTAAATGTCCTCTGTGTCTATGACTACCGTTTTGCAATGGTGTCCAATTTGGCAAACAGTTCATCGTCGCTGTTCTTGGAGTGGAGGAGCGAGAAGATGGTCTTACACTCTACACTTTTTCGTCTTCTCGCCTATGATCTACGAGGCTGCTTGCCCTTTAGAGCTGGTTAGCTTCTTGTCGTTCATAAGAATGACAGTTCATCCCGTGTTGTACATTAGATGAGATGACTAAGGGCTCCTGGTTCACATCGTTGACGCAAACTTTCCGGGTCAGGTTACGTAACTGCGTTCACTCTAAGCTTGTTCGAAGTCCTAGTTAGCTGTCTCTTTACTGTGCCACCAAGTACCAAAGGGAATCAATGGAATGAATACTCAGCCGGCTCTACAGCAGACCACCGCCACTTCAATGTGTTACAGGCCACAGTTGTAGAATCTGTTTAAAAGCGGCTGCTCAAAAAATCGAGGAAGTCATTTTTGGCTCATTTATGTTTTGTTGACACTCAAACAATAGAATATGCCTAACCTCAATCCGGAAAAACATCCAGCATCATCGACTACGATGGCTCGGTCATGTGCTACGCATGCCAAAACACCGTCTACCGAGACCAACGTTGTTCTCCGTGTCTCTTTCAGGATGAAGCAAACCGCGAGGTAGACAGCACATGGCTTGGCAGAAAGACGTGAAAGAGTTTGGGTGTTGTTGGTGTTGTGCGACTTCCAGGATGGGGTCCCCGTGACCCCGTCTGTGCTTGGCTGGAGACGTTGCAAGAAATGGCGGCTAATATATGTCAGTGGCGTTCGTGCTGTCAGTTTCTTTCCAGATTGTCTGATTGAGCGGTTGGAGGTTTAGGCACCTCAGAATGCTTGACATCGATCAGCACTAGGTCCCCCCCTCACCCACTCTTTTTTTCCTTTTCCTCCTGAGGCTTTTAATATAATTATACATAT